GGAGTTCCAGGATGGAAAGGGGACCTAGCACTCTCCACCACTTGATAGTGTGCCTTTAGCGGTGAGCCGAAGACACGTTTATTGGGGAGAACGCAGAGGCAAAACCGACCAGCTGTTGAGCGGTTTGTAGGTTGGTTGGTTGCCAACTCAACCCACTACGGGGGATCGGCAATGATTCACGCGGCAATGGGATTTCAGGGAAAATTAAAAAAGAAAAAAAGGAGAAAAAAGAGGAGGGGGATCTATAAATATTTTTATATAAACGAAAAGCTTGGTTGTGCTAATAGGCCAATATGAAGTTTTTAAAAAGTAAAACAAATAGAAATAAAAATATAAAATAAACAAACATACAGTAACAAATATATGAAACAGACTAATGACAAAATAAGTAATGAGTATGTACTTATGAGATTAGCATGGTAGAAGTTTTGATTCTTTTATATATTTATATATGGCTCCATACACGTCTCTGTTGCAATGACCTAGTGTCGAAGCCCCTAAAGAGAGTCGTGCCATTTCAGATAGCTCAAGCCCATGTTTTTTGGAAAGCTGGTATTAGAAATTCTGGCCTTAAATTTTGATATTGGTGGCACTTTGTGAAAAAGTGCTCTATATAATTTCTGTTTCTGTACAATAGTGGCAATGGGGGGAAGAAACAAAGCCATGTTTGTATAAATAAAGGTTTAAAGATGGAATCCTGCATAGCAATTTAGGGAATTTCACTTCGTCTTGTTGCACACCATGCGCGGTACCACTGAAACTTAAGGGGCTGAAAATCTGCGCCATTTAGAACAGAAGAGTTGGTGTGTTCCTGCCGTATACAGAAATTTCGAAATTGCGTGATTGTATATAGGCAGCAGGGTCTTAGAATATTCAGGACGGGGCTTTGAACTGATTCTGCTGCCAGTGTGGCCGCCGCTTCATTTAGTATTAGTCTCGCGTGACTTTGTACCCAAATCATTAGGATAACACGATCGAACGTGACTGGGTATATACGTATGGAATTCTAACAAGCAAGACTATGTCTTTGATGCTGTCAGAGCAGTGCGTACTGACAAAGTCTGAGTCAGTATAACAGCCGAAAAAAATGTATGTTGGTAGCTTGCGTATGGCCAGAATCACTGTCATTAATTCTGCCTGCAATATTGGCGTAAAATCTGGCAGTCGCAGTGAATAAGACAAATCTAATGCTGTTGAGTAGATGCCCACTCCTGCTTCCTCGGCATTAACGGAAGCATCTGTAGCTATAACTGAGCTTATTTGTAGGCTATTGAGATGGTCTTCGAGCAACCCATTCATTTATTTTATTTTCAAAAGTTTAACATTTTTAGGAAACATATCGTCAAACTCTATTCTTACCGTAAGATTCTGTACCTGTAAGAAACTCACATCACGGACTTTTACCCCTAATGACTCTAAGAGTTTTTGAACATCAACTATTTGAGGTCGACGTAGCCGAGACAACTCACAATAAAAAAAAATATGGAAGGCTCGCTTACAAATACATATTGGGGGCGCCTGAGGGGAGGCATAGATGTTAAGAAATGTTTTAACAGTCAGCATGCGAAACCTGGTATGTAGAGAGGGCACATATGCTTCATGATAAAGAACATTACTAGCGACAAACTTAGGGAGGCCTAAATATGGGCGCAATGCCTCACGCTGTATAAAAAGAAGAGAATGTAATTCATAAGTTGGTCCTCCACAGAACAATACACACCCAAACTCTAATATTGGGGGGGGGGGGGGGCATACATACAATGTCTTATCAACAAAGCTCTTCTACGCACTCCAATTCGACCACTGCTGATGCGCTTGAGCAACCCAATCACACGTAATTCTTTAGACGCTATATAGTCAATATGTGAACTCGAATTAAGATTTGCAGTGTATAATATACCCATATACTTTAATGAGTCTACCTGTGGAATGAAGTCCTGTCTGTACATCAGTGCTATTCTCACAGGAGAACTCAGTGGAAATGCAAGAAGAGCACTTTTGTTAACATTAAGGGACATGTGCAGGTCAGTAAGCCATACTTCAATAGCATTTAAAGATGATTCTAAAATGTTGTAGAACGTGTGTATGTCATTGGAAGCTGAAAACAAGCCTATATCGTCTGCGTATACATATACTTGCACTTTATCGTGAGTAGGGATAGAGCCTAATGATATATTGAATAAAATGGGGGGGGGGGACGGATCCCTGAAGAATTCTCCTTGTCTGTTTGTATTGCTCTAAAGATAGCCCATTCTGCGAACAATAAAATGTACGTCCATTTAAAAAATTTTGAATCTATGCAATGATATATTCGGGAACGTTAACATTTCGAAGTTTAATAATCAAGATGGCGCGTTCTCCACACTGTCGTACGCCTTAGCAATATCTAAGGTCAAAAGAGTGGCGTATTGCTTTTTGTACCAAGCAAGTTTATTCTAGCTTCAAGGTCAACATGGGTACACCATATAGAGCAGCCAGGTCTAAATCGAATTTGAGATTCACTCAATACATTATTTTATTCTATACATTTTTCGAGATGTTGATATAGAACCCGTTCCATTAGCTCTACAAGATTAGAGGTGAGGGAAATAGGTCTAGTGTTGTCTATAGCATAACCAGATTCCTGTACGTGAGAGGGGTAGCCAGCGTCCAGAAGTCGTTCTGCTTGTTCCTTGAAACTAGCTGCCATCAGATGTGGACAAGACTTCTGTAAGGCGTTACTAAAGCACATGTTTACAATGCCTCGTTTTACGAGCTTAGTATGGGCGGAGTGGTACGGAAGCAAGGGTTTGTTACTCCTCGGTTTGTACGTCCAACAAATGTGGTCTAGGTGAAAAATGAGAGCGATATGGCGCGATAACGCGCTACGCCGATTAATTATGTCTTACCAACATGCCCAGCTTTATACTATATTCTGGATGATGTTGTCTTTTAAAAAATCATTCTTCGTCAGTGGACTGCTGTCCAGGTACTTTTTTGACTTCAATCTATGGATGATGGTGGATTTCCATGAGTAAGGGGTAGCCCGGCATTTTGTGGCTCCATTGTCCAAATCCATATTTTCTACAGTTTGTGAAGTGCTCTTGGAACCACTCCCACTATTCTGTTTGCAAGGCGATTAAAGAATACCAGTGTATACTCCAACGCAGTTTCTGCACCAGACGCAGTTTCTGGCGTGGTTTTATCTATGCCTTCGTGGGTAAGTGCGATACCTATATCGAGAGTAGTATTTCCTGCACTATGTAAGATTTGGGTCGTCTGAGTTTTCAAAGCTTGCCCGATTGCCTCTGACGAAAAAAAAAAAAAAAACAGGGTGTTCAGTGCTTTCGACAGAGCCTTTTCGACAGCATTCGCCACAACTTCCCCTATAGATGTTTCCAAAGCTTTAGAATGTCGAGCAACAACTTCAGCGTACCCACACGATTTGTCTAATACTGCAGCTCGAGCTTCATGGCGTGAGCATCACTTCTTTTTTATAACCTCTAAAATTTTGGGCTCTTGATCTCTAGCCGGCAGTTTGAATGATAAACAGGGTGAGAACCTTGGCAAAGAAAGCATCGTTCATTTTGCGAGAAACACGTTTTCAGGTCATGCTCGTCTCCGCATATGCGGCATCGAGGAGACGATCAGCTCCCCTTAACGGTATGGCCATATCGCCAGCATTGGATGCATTGAAGTGGGTGGTGAGTGAGAGCCTCAACTGTATAAATTGAAGGCCATGCCTAATCTATGTGGGTCTGCTTACGCCTGCAAATGTTACAATGACCAACTCTGTGGGGACTCTCCTTTTTCTCTCGTGAGCATCGGTACACTGATATCGCCCCTGCAGCTGAAAACATTTCTAAGACCTCTGAGGCACACAGGCTCGAATCTACACCACGAACTATGCCTTTCACTCAAGCGAGATGAGCCGGAATAAATGGGCTCACCGGTAGAGATGCAAACGCGGTGCACTCTAAAGGGTCATAAATGCAGGTCTGGTCCGGAGAGCAGCACTGAATGCCATAGTATGTTTGTCTGTCCTTTCTTTTTGATATCTGCAAAGCATTCGACACCGTAAACCATTCTACCCTGCTTGAAAAAATATACCTTCTTGGCTTCAGAAGTTCCGATATACGATTTTCTTAAAAAACTATCTTTCTCACAGCTTCCAGGTAGTTAGAATAGACAACTGGTTGCCTTTCAGCAACAAGCTTGCCTTGAAGGCTGGTGTAGCACAGGGATCCATTTTGTCTCCTTATTTGTTTAAATTATTCATAAATGATTTCAATACGGCTGTTCCAAAATGCCTCGTACTTCAGTGCACAGACGACACGGTTATTTTAACCAAGCACGTCTGTTAAGATAAAGCGTTGTCACTACTATAAGACAGTGTTCATGATGCTGCGTCATGGTTTGCTAATAATTGCCTAGTGATTAATACGAACAAAACAAAACTAGTTTGCTTTAAAAATTCATTGAAAGCAATAGTGACAAAGATGCCACCATTTCTTCATGCCCGTGATTGCGCTTCCTGTAAGTGCACTCTCATTGAATTTGTTAATTCTGTAAAATATCTGTAAAATATGATAATCCTGTAAAATATCTTGATGTGTTCTTGAATAGTGACCCATCTTCGAATAATAATTTGGCGCACAGATGTGTCAGACTACAAACATTTCATGGTTATTTTCTAATATTAGATCAATTGTGGCCCCCAATATTGAAGCGACCATTATGCTTGCTCTTGCGTACAGTGTCCCGCATTATGGCATCACATTGTTTGCTTTCTGTTCTTGCCAATGGCAGTGTAGGGTTGATAACATTTTGAAAAAACAACATGTTGAAATTGATTGTTTACGATCGTACTTTAACAGACGTCGACTGTTTTGCTCAATGGGACAGCTAACGATTGCAAAGAGAAGCTTTAAACAAAATACGAAAGTGTACCACCTAAACGCCGTAAAAGTACCTACAAACAGAGCGGCCCCGGTTAAACAGTTCTACATCATCAGACTTCATTTCGTTTCATCACATTTTATTTTTTACATTGCATCCTCCACATTATTCAGACACTTAAAAATAATACGAACTGTTTTGGCACACGAGAAAGAAAACTGTGTATTAAACGTGTTCCCGCATACAAACAAGAAAAAGGCCAAAAAGTGACATCAATCTAGAATTAATATTAACGTTATACACTTAAAATATGTGTACGTACAAATAAATGGCAAATTGAAAATTCGGATGCAGTGAAAATGACTACAGCGACAGTAACCTACACAAACACTTGTAGAACACATGGTGTTCTAAGGCTCTTGCGCCCTGTACAAACACTGTACAAACACACTATAGTACGGCAGGTTTTGTGAAGGACTGTCAGCAGGAGGCATTCAGGTCAAAGTGGCACATAGCCCGAACGTGAACGTTCCGGCACCACTAATGTGACAGCCATTGTGATCGAGCTGTTTGCCCTAGGTAAGCCTAAATTGGTCTGCCCGTCTCGGGGAGTAGAATATGGGATCCACATCCAGCGCTCGGCTTACATCGCGGGGAGTGACAGTAATGTCACCCACGACAGGAATGTATATCTCGGACGACTGTTGCACGCTGATATAGCGGATACGTACGCGCGATATCGGAGCACGGCGGTGCTCCGGTACCAGGAAGGCCACGATCCTGGAAAGCCACGTGATCATGCTGCCCCACGGTAGGGTGGATAGAAAATCTTTCTAGCCACCATTCCCACGGCCAGACGCCTTCTGCGGTCGCCAAAGCGAAAGGTGTGCCGCTCATGTTCGCTTTGGCTCAAGCACACGCTTGTTTCTCGGTGCTCGCGTCGCCATTATGTGGACACTGTGGCAGCCCTGGTAGATTCGTTCATGCTTGTCTTTGAACGTGCGATACCTGGCGCTTGATGAGCTTGCAAATGAATATTTTTATAATTTTATACCACCCTTTGAAGTTTATTTTCTGTAACAGTCCAGAACATTACTATACTGCTGTTAGTGTAAAAAAAAACTGCAGTTTCAACCAAACCACATATTTTATTGAACTGTCGAATACTTGAAGTGCTGGTTAAATCTGAGCCTTGAAAGCCTAAAAAAAAAACGTAATGGAAATAGACGGGCGTAGTATATAGACGGGCTACTCGTAGAATTCAGAGGTTGTGGCTGCTATGATGGATTTCGTCTGGTCGGGAGTGCGCACTTTTTATACCGCACTAAATTTTGTGGTTATGATTGCGCAATCAGATATTTGCACCGTCTTCGTTAATCAAAATACAGAACACGCTGATCAAGTTCGTTAGCTGTAGTGGGCTTGCATTAGTTCATGAGCGAGCTGGTACACTTCAGAATGCTTATATTTCATTTCAGTGTGGCTAGAAAAAAACGTTGCATCTTGTGCCAGTCAGGGAATTTATGGTTCCAGTTTTATAACAACTAACGCACAAGTTTTTGCTAAGAACAAAAAAAAAGAAAATTCCGTTTTCTTCGATCGCTAGTAATATACAGCTTCGGCAGAGCTTGCAAAGTGATGGCTGTTCTGGCAATGGTTCTGTAACTATTACCCTTGCTGCTGCAAAGAGCTGCCAGCGGCTGAATATCCGCGAAGTTTGCCCATAATCTTGAACTTGCCCTTCACTTGCTGCACCAGGCCCGACTCAAGCACTCCGGCGTTAGTGCCCAAGAAAGCAGCTCCGTTGCCTTGGCCTCGATTGAAGAAATCGGTTTGCTTGAAGCCTTCCTCTACCCGGTGGCCCTCAGTCTGCCGAAAGCCACCGGACTCGCGAAAGTTGCCTCCTCCGCCACCTCCGGGGAGCGGGCCCGATGTCAGAGGGCCCCCAACAGCATCAGGTCCACCTTTGCCTCGCCCGTGACCTTGGCCGTGACCTTGGCCGTGACCATGGCCTCTGCCACGGCCTAAGCCTTTGCCCTGGCCTTGGCAGTCAGCACAGCCCGCTGTCAGCACCAGCAGCAGCAATGCAATGACCTGTTCCAGAAGAGAGGAAGCAGTACATGGTGATCAACAGTAGTAGTGCATATATATATATATATATATATATATATATATATATAGATATATATATATATATATATATAGATATATATATATATATATATATATATATGGAGAGAGAGAGAGAGAGAGATAGAGAGAGAGAGAGAAAGGTCGGCGTTCAGGGCCGTAGCCAAGGGGGTGCCACACCAGACCTGTGCCCCCCACCCTCTACCCAGAATTTTTTTTCACCTAGGCATAGCGAGCAAAAAATGATCATTTTAAGTGGCTGCCCTCGCCAAAATCAAAGAGCCTCCTCCCCCCCCCCCAAAAAAAAATTCTGGCTACGCACTTGACTGCGTTACAAGGAAAGCATGGCAAACCGTATCGCCCTACCGCACATTTCAGCTAATAAAAAATGTGTGTGTGTGTAGGGGGGGGGGGGGTTAGTAAATAGATGCGACGATTGTACCAATGCTTCTCCGACAACCACCTAGTGCAAACTATAATTTTTTTGTTGGAATTGATTACCCAATTACCAACATATATTTATTAAAATTTCTGATTACTCATGCATCATATTCAGAAGCACGACGTTCAAGTGGTTTGTGTTCACCACAACTTTTTCTGTAGATATATTTTTCCGGGTTCCTTTGTTGTGGTGCAAAAAGCGAGCAACAGTGTCAACATAGCGCGTGACAATAACAACCTCGGTAGTGTATTAAAATATATTTCTACTCGGTGAAACTACATACGCATAACCGAGGTCGGGGTGTTTCATACGTAGTTAGAGACGCACAGACACGGCCGTGTTACAGGTAGTTATAACGTTGTAGACGTACGTGAGAAGCTATAGCGAGATTTGGGGGTCTCAAGATTAGGCGGACCACTTTTCTCCAAACTGCCCCTACTAAAATGAATTGCGCTCTACGTCTATGCTATGCTTTACCAAAAAAAAGGTGGGGGAGACGATGACGACGACATCAGTGAGGAATGCTTCAAACAAGGCTTTCTTTCGCATTCAAAAGCATAGCCGTGTCACCGCACTTTCCATTCTAGAAAGTTCGGCATGCATTGTGCGAGGGCATATACACCGCCACTTGAATTACGCGTATGAACACTCGTGTATACTTTTACAACTATTTTCGTACAATTTACGCACCCGCGGAAGTCAGAAAAAGTTGGCATCTAAGACAGCAATAAGGTACGAATGCACAAGATTTTTTTCGTGGCATGATCGGCGGTCCCAAGTCCGCTGATACTGTCAGCCAACTATACAGCTATATATTATTTTCCGTATTTTATACTGAACAGATTAACTGAGTGGCCAACAAATACGCAGTTTCATGGATCACTGCAAGCCACTGCCGCAACCAGGGGTGTGGGTTAAAGGGTTCAACTCTCCCTTCTCCGAAGTGTTTACATTTATAATGTATATCTGTATGTACACACAGGCGTAGAAGCACACGCAAGAACACACATAATAGGAATCTCACTGTCCCTTCAATAAGTTTATGGCTACGTCCCTGCCACATGAAGCGTGCCGTCGTCTCACCGTTTTTGCCGTCATATTGAACCGCCGGATGTACACAAGCCGTCAGCTGCGCCGGTGTTTCGCGGGTTTCTTTCGCGGACGCGATCGCGAAGCATCGCAAAAACCGGTCTTCCCACCCGCAAGCACGTGCCGCATGGTTTCAGGGCCGCTACAGGAGCCGTTTCCTGGTGGGGACACCCCGTCCCTCCGGGTGCGAAGCCCACAGCATGCAGCCACGTCACGCTCGTTACTAGGCTCAATGCCATGCGCTGTTGGACGCGCGAAGACCATCGGCGGCGCCAGGATTACTTTGCTGGGGTGGGGGGGGGGGGGGGTCACCCACGATAAGTGAGTTCTTTCAGAGGCGGCAGACAGGCGGGGAACTTGGCCATTGTGTTATGAGTATGTCCCCGCTTGGGTGGGGGGACGACGAGAGGACAGGCGAAAATAAATTTAATTGTGAAAATGAGACAAACAAAATGGTCAATAGTGATGCAAACCTGAAGTGTATATATATAATATATATATATATATATATATATATATATATATAGAGAGAGGAGGAGAGAGAGAGATCTAACAGACAGTAATGGCAAGGAATGTAAGGGGAAGTTAACCAGTGGAACGTAAATAAGAAGAAAGAAAAGTGGGTGAAAAAATAACCAGCCGTGAGCAAAACGGCTGGATCAGGACGGCTGAATAACGGCTGGTTATTTTTTCACCCACTTTTCTTCCTTCTTATTTACGTTCCACTGGTTCTAATAATTTCCCCTTACATTCCTTGTCATTACTGTCTGTTAGATGTCATTATATTTGTGTCAAAAACACGGAAAAAACGAGCCCTTAGGTATACACTTCTTTCCCTTATATATATATATATATATATATATATATATATATATATATATATATATATATATAATATATATATATATATATATATATATATATATATATATCTTGATATGTGGGGTTTAACTTCCCAAAACCACCATATGAATATGATTATGAGAGACGCCGTAGTGGAGGGCTCCGGAAATTTCAACCACCTGGGGTTCTTTAACGTGCACCCAAATCCGAGCACACGGGCCTACAACATTTCTGCCTCCATCGGAAATGCAGCCGCATCAGCCGAGATTTGATCCCGCGACCGGCGAATATATATATATATATATATTATATATAATGGACCTTACAGTGACAACGCTTGTGGACTTGAAAAACACTGAGCTACAGCTTACAGCTGTCAATTTCCAGAGTGTTTCATTGTGAAAAGGCATACTGAAATAACCAAAAGTGCAGGCGCCAATTATTACGCGATGACTGTTCTTCCCTCGGTGACACATCTTTACAATATATTCGAACATCCCGATCACAGCCAAATTATTATGTACGAGCTATGCAAAGATGTCCATCGGCTTCCCTTATCGTTCATCGCAAGCATCACCGGGTTTCTTTTCTATAAATGGCACATTCAACGATATAAAATCAAAAAGAACACTTTGTCCTAGGCACATAGTAACAGGCGCCATACTTTTTAAATCGGCTGCAGCACCTGGCGCTACGCTGGATTATTTATGTATATATAGCGTGACATCACATGGGAGATCAAAATGCATAATTCAATGATTACCAAATTTTATTTGTTAGACTAAATAAATTAGCATATATATTGTGACATGCGAAATCAACGATGATATCATAAGGCATATTCAGTTTTATAAAATTGTGAAACTGGCTGCAGCTTTAAGACAAGTGCTGTCAAACTACTCGCCAATACGTGTCTTAACGGGAAACCCTGTGATAGGAAATGTGGCAGCAACTCTGCATGTGATCACGCATAGTGCCGTATCCGTTACCAAATGAAGCAACTAAATACGTTACTCGTTGCTTCAACAAAAAAGAAACGTTTTACCGCCCTACGTTACCTGGAAAAATAAGTGACGCGTCACCGTTACCAAAAAAAAAAAAAAACGTAACGAACATTTCCTCTGCCGTTACTACACAATCATAAACTTTAATTAATGTGTGTTTATTACAGGAACTCACCATAATAATATTTTATATCTCAAATTTATGTTTCAAAGAAAACTTCTAACCTCCCCCCCCCCCCCCAAAATTATGTTAACATGCTCATCTAACGAATATTATTTGTGAAAATGTACCGAATGTTACTGTGGTAAGAATTTGCTTGTTACATGTGATGACTCGTGACTTTGTGCCACATGATGAAGCCATTTTTCTCCATGCAGCATTACCCACAATATCAGATTCAATAATATAAGCTAGCCACAAAGAAAGCATGACTGAACTCTCAAAAAATTTACAACAATCGGCTTTTTGCGGCCTCGAACAGCTTCTCCCGAGAAGATCTTCGAAATAGAAACTGGTGGTCCTTGCCTTTGCAATTGCCCGCCACACGCTAGTGGCAATCGCAGAGATTTGCATTGCATGGTGTGTTTTTTTCATTTGGGCGAGGGGGGGGGGGGGTGTCATTGGCGCCTTTGTGACACCCTTTGTGACACCCTTTCGCAGTCTCGTTTGGGCCAACAAAACTTAATGTGCATGCCTCATTGACGACGGTGCGCAGGCGGTGACGACCTACACAGGAAAGGCATATCTGGACAGTGCGCTAAGCAAATGATTTAATGGCAGTCAAGGGAAAAAATATTTCTATATGAACATTTCTCGTTCCCTTTAGCTTGTATATTTACCGCAAAAATTTGCGAGCGTTTATGTGAGCGTGTTGAAGAGAACCACTTCGCTGGTTTAGGAGTTCAATAACCGAAAACGTAGCTTCCGTACGGAGACAAAAAAGCAAAACTTCTTTTAAAAACGAAGTAGGTGACTCTTATCAACTTTGTAGCAACTATTTTGTAGCAAATATAAGAAAATCTCCCATATTTAGACAATTTCAAATATAGCTTTCTTCGCACGCATTTCAAACATTGCTCCTAACTCTTTGTCGTGCATATATCTTCGTACCCAAGATGTCTTCTTTGTAATGGTACCATTTGTGTGTTCCATCATTATGAACTTTTGAAAACGACTGGTGATGAAATAAGTCCTTCCGTATCGAATATGTTCCATATTTTTCTGGCTCGTAAACTGTGAAGTTGACTCTGTTTCGATATTTTCGGTCTGCATGCGTAAAATATTAAATACCCAATCAGATCTAAAATACTAGTTCTTGGATTCATGTCAATCGCTCGTGGAATCACCCGTTCGCGACAGTGGCATACCCAGGTGGGTATGCCACTGTGGTATGCCACTGTATGCCACTGTATGCCATACCCATCGGGCCATGATGCCTCCCCCCACCCCCCTGAATTTTTTTTCGCCATGGTACACTTGGCGCCAAATTGTCTGCCCCCCCCCCTCAGCTCAAAGAGGTGTGCTAGGTGTCCCCCCCCCCCCGGAACAAATTCTGTTTAAGCTAAGCACCTGATAACCGCTATTAGGAGCCTAACTTCTTATGTCATGCGTTAGCTGCCTGTAATCATTGTTAGCCGTAGTGTTCGTGAGAAAGTCGCATTAATGGGCTTTAGTTAAAACAGAGGGTAGTGAGAAACCGAGCCAATAAAGGTAGCGAGAAAAAGAAGTTGAAATTTGCAAGAAAAAAAAAATTCGACGTTCCGCGCATCACTCGGTGGCACGAACACTCTGTTTTTGTCACTTTTCCAACTGAAGTGACGGATGTTCTCCTAGTGTTGAATAGTTGACTTATATATCATTTAGAAGCTTCTTTTTCACAAATTTTAAACATGTCTATAAAAATCAAGTCAATCATTACTATTTGGAGGTGGGAAGGCAACGAAAAGCGCTAGTTACACGATTTGTGCTGACTGTGCCTCAGTGGTGACCATTTTCTGAAATATATGCTACAGTTGCAGCACTGTTTCTTGTACAGCACATTCAAGACATATTCTTTCTATTTTCTCAACGCAGCAAATTTATGTAGGATTTCTACTTTAATGTTGGTCATCATTTGAAAACAGCGAAATTTAGTAAATTTATCTGTACACTGCCCGCTACCAACTCGCTAGAAGATGTTCATTTTGTTGACATGCCCAGAAAACAACATTTCCCATCTAATTGTTTATTTTATTGATTTATGCTTTCAGATTTTTTGTTTTAAATTATCTAAATTGGGCAATTTTCTCAATACATGGAGCTACATATTTGCCCGTTTTCGTGGCAAGCTACTGAAGTTCTGTGGCTGAATATTCGCGTAGATGAACTGGAGCCCCTATGTATTTCCTCAATGTAGCATTTTTCAATAAAGCAAGTATAAATTCGAAATGAAGCTCGTAAATTGCCTCAATTTATCATGCCCCAAATGCCTACTAAATCACAGTAATATTCAAACTGCATTGAAATCTCAGCATAAATAGCCAATAATTCCCGTCACCTGATATAATTATACACATAAATCATGCACAAATAGTGCATGGTCACTGAGAAATCTACTTTATTTTTACTACTACATCGAAACTTTTTTCTGGCGTCATCTAGAGGGACAAAACGAAAGCAGTGCATCGAAAAGTTCCCTGATTTCACGAGGGTGGCGTGCAAAAATATATTACCTTTTTCTTGCGTGTTGTGATGTGCCGCTAAGGTGAATGTCGGCAAGTTCTGCGGCCCGGGGAGTGCGGGGAGTGTTTCGTCGAGCCCCAAGGACCAACGGGTTAGCATCTATGTGCGATAACAATGTATCATCGCGATGTGTTGCCTATGTTGAAACGAGGCCTAGCAGGCTGGTCTCGTCATGCTGTAACAGCATCAGCGTGGACGCGTAGTAGTGCCGACTGGGAACGAAAGGTGGCGTCACTTTCAACACGTGGGTGCGATGTTGAAGAGGGCAAAGCGAAAAGAGCAGGAGGGACCATTGGTACAGTGTGACAAGTGCCAGAGATGGGCTTACCTAGATGAGACGAACTTCCCATCCACGGATGCAGAAGAGGCCGCAGTCTTTGTACGCAACCTCTGCAATACGATAGAAGTGTTTGAGACAAGGCTGTGTGCTTCGGAGACCAAAATTGACACACTTCGAGGAGTCATCCTGACAGTAGAGAAGCAATTACAAGAACCGCTAAAAGTTGCTGAGCATAGCTGTTCTTTCCAGCCAGTAGTGACTGCATCCAGAGCAGCGCAGA